ATAGCAGACTGAAAGGAAAGGGAAGAAAGTGCTTCACAGTTCTTGTACAACTCTGGGGAACTGATTCCTACCCTTCCACCCCTGTACACTTGTGTGATTTGTGGTAACTCAGACCACATTTTTCACTACTGCTCTCCTGTCTTGTTAAGGGCCCACCTTGAAACCTAGAGCTCCAGTTTGAAGAAGGAATTCATAGTACTTTCAAAACCAGCCACAGCTACAGCTGAAGTTAACAGGCATTGTACTTTGAATGCAGCGTTAAACAAACTGAAAATATTTAGCTATAAACTGCTCATATTGACTACCCAAACCCTTTTAACTTTAGTGTCATCCTTCAGTTAGTCCTCTATAAAATGGGAATAATTATTTCAAATGCAGTTTTCCCAGAAGCATTGTGGAAAATATAGATGTTGGTATTTATGGTGCTCTGCTCCAATGAATGCTGATAACACTATAAAGACAGGTTTGAAAAAAGTCTAGTAAAAAAAAAATACGCAGATCACATACTAGGTAAAGAGAAGAATACGAAATTTTGATTAGCTGCTGCTTATTGAATGAGCAGGTACACAGATATAATGCAGTACCCTGTAGAAAACGTAGTATAAAATGACTAAAAAATGCATTGTAATGCACATGCACAGTAGAGCTGAAATGTTGCACAAAGTTTTATGAGCGCAAAGATATTGCTCATGTCTGAACTCTCAGTCTGTGTGTAAGAACTCTTTTTTTCAAGTTTTCCCCTGGGAAGATAAACTAATAGCTATATTACATGAATACACGTCCAATGTCTTAATACATTTTTCATGTACAAAAGGAATTTGTTTTCTAGTCAACAGGAATAAAATTATATTAATCTCTATGTTTTATGACATGTAAAAAACTCACTGCTAGTATATCTGTTAGTATGATAAGAGTTTCCACTGAAGGCTGAAATATTGATGAGATCTTTAAACTTAATCCTCTCTTTTCCATTTAAGAAATCTACATGTGTGCATTTGAGACAAGCAATAAAATATTCTCCATCAACATTTAAAAAAAAAAAAAAAAAAAAAAAAAAAAACATTTTCCATTCTAACTCTGCTATAACAAATGGATTAATTGCTGGGTAATTTAATCAGATGGCTTACTGATAAAATTTGAGCAAAGACTTGATGTTTGTCCAGTGCTTGAAAAATTGGTATGGGTTTTTCAGCTATGAGAAGTCTGTCCAGATGGCCTTAGAATGAATGATAGTATTCAAAATGTTGTTCCCAGAGGATTGGCCAGCTGTATCTAACATGGAAATGCTTCTGTGAATTTTTAAAAAAACATTAAGTATAATGGGGAATACTGGAGAGAACATTTAAATGTAATTCATTCACAATTTAGAGTAATTGACTCAGTTGGCAGGAGTCATCCAAAATTAGGTTTTAACGGGCACAACTGCTCACACATCTATCTCATACAAACTACATCTAAAGCTAAGATGCTAACTTTTTGGAAATTGCCCTTCAGTTCGTTCTTTCTACCTAACACCTTTCTTGGCCCTTCAGAAATTTTCCACCTGCAGCAAAAGGCCTTTCTAAAGAAGTCAAACAATTATTATTTTAGTGAGAAACATTTGAGGGTACTTTAAGTCTGTTTAAACATACATAAATATAGTCAGGGCTCAACAATTGGGAACAGAAACCCAAACACCTACACTTGCAGTGAGAAGATATTTTTGGATGAGCATTTTGTAACGGGCTTGCACAAGAGCTGGAAAAATGAATCAAGTCTCATACATTAGAAGCAGCATCACTTTTATACCCCTGTGAAGCTTTTATGTTTCACATTATAATCTTCCTGGAGCTCACCCATACCCTTCATAGCAGAATTTTGTACTGCCATCTGACAAAGCTGTATTCAGTCCAAGATTATGGTCTTTCACATCTGCCAAGGGCTGAAAGTGTAGTGAGAGAGAGCTAAATCCTTGAAATTTCCCACCACAGCAAAGAAGCAAATTTAAAAGGGCCCCAAGGAAGACCCATTAGGCCTTCATCACACATCTATCAAAAAGGTGGTCATAATCTAGACTTTACAGGCTGGAATGGTACTAAAGGAGAAGCAAATAAAATAGTTCTGAGAATTTCCATCAAGACAGACAGAATCACCAAGAAGCAAAGAAAAAAAAAATGTCATTTTAGTGGACATAGCTACATTTACAAGAAGAAAAAGATTATTGAAACATGTTCGTGTAATCACATGTAGTAATCACATGTTAGTGTAATCACTTTAGGAGGAGCAACCTTTTGCTCTATATGGCAGTGAGAATGATAGGTTTATTAAATCTTGGGGAGGGAAAGAAAATGGAAAGGAAGGATTAACTGAATACTTTTTCAAGTCCTGGAAATTCTTCAGGATGTTCATAAGTGTAATGGAAAGTGAGAAAATGAAAAAAAATAGAATCATTTAAAGCTTAATTATTTCAGTGGTTTTCTTTGGAATAATAAGTAAAAGAATGATGCTTCTCTTCTTTCCCATCTCATATACATGCAGAAGTCCTCCATAAGGTACATGGTAGAGTATATGGAAAATGTCTTCAAACAAGTTTGGAACATGAGCTAAGCAGAGGTACTCGGTTTCTTAATCTCTTAACAATGACTTTATTTACTGGGTGTGTGATAGCCTGGGGTTTATGATGGCGCACTATATTGGCAAGTATTGGAGTGAAGTTTGGAAGCTAGAGTAAGCAACAAAATAACAGGAGTACAGAGACAGTCTGTCTTGTCCTCAGCTCTTATCAAAAGTTTGCCAAAGAAAGCATTGGAATATTTTTACTGTATGTGCATATACAAGGTTTTAAGACTGTGCTCTCTACAGTGGCTTTGCTCCCAGAAGCCAAGAAAATTAATTAAGAAGTCAGAGCAAATTCAAACAACTGCATAACTTTGATTAAGCTAGTGACTATTTTTTCCTAATAAAGATTCTAAAGTTTTAGAAAAGCTCAAAAGGTTCCTGAGTAAAAAATGTGGAAAACTGGAGACTAAATCAATCAGTAAGCTAGGAGTTAAAAGGATTTCAGTCCTGCCTTAAATGAAAAATCTTAGTGCAGCTTCAGCTACAATTTCTATGAAAGCCTCAGCAATACTGGTATCCAGTGCACATAGTATCCCATATGAATGTCACTGATATAGAATAATAACTGATAAATATATAGAATAATTACTGATAAAGAACTGTCATGGTAATACAAGGAACACAAACCTGCTGAACATAGAGAAGGTATGGGGTTTTTAACGTTTAAAAAGAGGCACTCATACAGCTTTGATTCTTGAATGGCTGATCTGTGAATGTCTTGGTATTTTCAGAATTAATTTGAAGATATTTCCAGCGTATCATATAGTTTATTATACGACATCAATCTGTTTACTGTAATCTGAAAGAGGTGTATCTACAGAGACAGTACAGCAAATTGAGAAATAACTGTCCTATTTATATTAATATGGTGCATACTTATGAGTATGGTTATGATATCTTTCTTCCTAAATTGGATGAAAAGATGCTGCTAAAAGAAACATTGGGAGTGGCAAAACAGTGACAAAATCACTGAGAAGATAAAGGTGAAGCTAGCCTTTGTGGATTGTCTGATTTTGCCCTCTCAAGGTCAAGCTGAGAAGACAGACACATACACTCACTCCAGGGGATCTGAAACACAAAAAGGAGAGACCCACATTTATCCCAACTAACTTCATGCAGTCAACTGAAATGTCTAAATAATACAATTTTTCCTTATGTGGGGACACACTGTGTTGTCCTCTACAGACATCTGTGTCTCTTAACTACAAAAGGAATAAAGGATGTCTGTGTTCCTGCTAAAGTAATTCAGCTAGTGGGACAACAGCTGTGCTGTGAAATTTGGGAATAAGACACAGGATAGAAAAGTGCTAGATACAAAAGAAGCATAAATTGCTGGAGTGATTGACTTCCCATGTCTCCAGAAACTGAGGCAACTGCTTTCTGAAAGCTGTGCAAACTTGAAAAGAAGGCTATGATCGCATAAAACAATCAGAAATATAGATGTAGACCTCAACTTTTTCACCATCCCATTTGTAAGGTCTCTAGATGATTTGTCTTGATGTAAAAAACCTTGGAAGAAAGAATGCTTATGAAAGTCAATGGAAAGCAGGCCCATCACACTAATGTAACTGTAAAACAAACCCAAAGGGAAGGACAGAAAGCCAAAATATTTCTGTAGAGCTTGTTTACATTGTCAAATGTATCTGCACTTAAGAGTGTTAAATGTAGAGCTAGTACAAAGCAGTGTAGCTTTGCTGCTTGTAAATGAGCTGTAACACTTTACACAGCTGATTGTCTGAGCGTCAAAAATTCTACTTATTTCTGAATATAAATGTTCTAGCTATAAGTAGCAGCAACTTTCCCATCAGCTTCTGAACCTGTTTCCTTTATAGTGGTTTGATCTCATCTTCTAAATAAACATCCTCATTAACAGGTATTAAGCAGATATGTTCAAGCAGAAGAGAGGCTCATGCACACCAGAAAAAGGATGCAGAAAACATGGCATAAATATCTGTAATTGCCAGGAAAAGGATGCAGAAAACATGGCGTAAATATCTGTAATTGCCAGTGAATTTGCTAGGAAGCAGAGATGGTTCAAAATACAATCTTACTGGCTGCTGACCTGTTACAAGAAATCCTCACAAGGAACCAAAGTGTATTTCATGTCAACACATTGAATTCTTACAATGTATTTCTCAGGTTGAGTGCAGAAGTGCTTTATTTTAGATACAGATCTGTTCTCTTTCAATTACCACTGCAGACTACAAAGCATTTTAGCAATGCCATAAGTCAATTTAGCTTGCTAAGATATCTTAATTGGCCCTTTTTTTAACTTCAGTGATGGCAGGAAAAGAAAGATGTGCTTAGCAGTCATAAGTATTTATGCCTTGGCATTATTAAAGTGTCTAGCCAGCTCTTAGATTGAATGTAGCTGCAGAAGGTTTGATGTTGACATATAATACCTGTTTTTAATGTGCTGGGGAGAACCAAGACACTTGAAACTTCCATTGACCATAATAGCAAGCCGTGTACAGAGGGCTTCACATTCTTCCATACTACAAAATAAAATGGAGGGGGAAAAAATATTAAAAGAATAATAGTGAAAGCAAAGAACATTATTTATACCTAACTTTAATTAAAGTGCAAGGAATTTGGACAGCTGCAAAAATGAGTACACAAAACCTTTGACTTTAAAGGCAACTGTTCAAATTGTAACCTTAGTCAGTACATACCAAAAGTTATTACCACTTGACAGCTATAAGAGAGCCCTAAAATGGAATGGGTTTAGTCCAGAACTAATTGGACAATTCTGGTCACAATACAAAGGTTTTATTACCACAGGCAAATAAATACCTGATAAGCAGTCTCAAAAATGCCACTGAGTGAGAGCCATGAGCTCTGTTATTCTCTGTAATACCTGTTTGTGCTCATTCTGAGCTAAAGGATAGAGGTAGAAGAATGAAATAAGCTTGTTCTGCTTGCCTCCTGCACAGTACCTACCCTTAAAAGGTAGTTAGATGTGGGAATGAAGCAAACCTTTAGTCTGATTGAAGGATAGAAGAGGATGCAAAACACTATAATCCAAACAGAATTTGGGACATGGAAATGCAGCTGAGTAGAAAAGCAGGATTCTGTTAGATGTGACTGCTTCAGATTATAAATAACAACTTGATTTCTAAAGCTTAGGGCAGATGGGCTGTCATTCTGCATATTATAATAGAATTGTGTGACCAGTTCTTCCAAGGCATCATTTTATACATAGGACATCAGTCAGGACATATCTATCATCTCAAAAAGGAGTCGAAGTTGTTTGATGTTCCTGCAATTCACTGCATGTACTCCCCAACCCTTCTGAAATAGCTAAACAAGAGTTGTTTTGTGTGCCTCAGCCATGTGTCAGTCCAATTAAAGTGCTTTTACTGAACAAGCATGGCAATTAAGTACCCTCCAAGGAACAATTTCCTTAAAATAGGACAGGGATACGGTGAGAACAAGTAAACCACTCTGAGAGAGATGGGGAGAGGGCAGGCTAACACATCTTCCCACAAGTCAGGAAAGTTAGATGAGTCTCTTTGGGGTGTGGTAACTCCTAATGGTCCCCTTGGCATAACACCCCCCAGCTGTAGCAAAATAATACAGATTTAGGCCTTTATGGACAGTTAATACAACCTCACTACTCCCCATCTCAAAACAGAAGTTAAGCATTATGTCTGTAAATTAAGTAAATAGACCTCAAACCCTAATTTTTACACAGGAAACCATCTCTATACCTCATGCAGTTATTTGCTGGTATGCATGAAGATTCACTTCAGAAGAAAAATTCCTTTATTTATACAAGTAGCCTTTGAAAGAATCTCAAATAAATCTCCAATGGCCTTCAGCAAATAATATAAATAGTATAAAATAATTTCTCTTCCTCCACCCTCACACAATGTCTTATTAATTAGAAATTATATATGTATACTACCACAGTACTTGTATTTTATTCAAGTAATTCATTTGTAGAGCTAAATAAGCAATAGTAACAATTTTATAGATTTTGTTTGTTTATAGCATATTAGTAATGAGACCACAGGCCTCTTCTGTTTAGCTGGTGTTTAACAACTAAGGGATCTTAATCTGGACTGAAAAGTCAAAGCACATTGTTTCCTTAAAATCACTCAACTTAAATCACAATGTATAATTTGTGTTCCCCCTAAATGATTGAGCTAGTAAGCACTTGGGGATCAAATACAAGTATGTGATTTTCAAGACTCATCTTCCATAAATAGAATACGATATACTTTTGAGGACATTTTTCCATCAGTAATGTAGCACAGACATCTATATAGAGAAAAATACATCTTGAGAACATCTGAAAAAAATTTAACCATATCTAGAAAATATTGAGGGAAGTTTTGCTGCATTCTTTTATTGATTTCTCTATGCTTCAAATCTCATATAGTCAAAACGGTACATTGCTATTTTGATTAATGAGTTCTGTCCTTTCTGTGCTTATTTTCATGATCTCTCATTTAAAGCCATTTTATATATAATTATATGAAATATACTAAATTCTCTAGGGAACATTTTACTATAGATGTTACAAAACAGTATTGATGTTTCTTCCATTAAACTGATATACCAATGACCATATCAGAGAATTGACAGGATATTTAATGTAAATAGACTCTTCTAAGTGAATGAGGTCACTCCTACCATTTCCAGTAGTGCATACAGAGAATAACAGAGACAATCTGCCTTTAAGATGCCATGGCACACACTTTTCATACACTGATGCAAAACAGAATCCTTAATAAAATCAGAAGAGGGTTTTTCACTCCCACGTGCTTTTGTAAGGATTTGTAGAGTAGGTGGCTGCAAAATGATAACCTGGTGTTCCAAGCAAGAGGACACAACTGTAACACTGAATAGAAAGAGCACAGAAAAGGAAGAATTCATTGCATCATTTTTTCTGTGCCTCCAGCTCCCTTGAACCACATTCTAATCCTTGAAAATAAATTATATTAAATATTTAGCATTTGTGCAAGTTCTATTTTCACAAGTGGAAAGGAATTGCTAGAAAATACCAAGACATATTCCATGTTTCACACCAGGGTAGGCATGCCTTCAGAATACACTTTTCTGCTCTCATTTGACAGCAGGTGAGGAGAGGGAACAGGAATATGCTGGCTGCTGGGATAAGGGTCTTACCTGTGGGATGTCAGCACAGCCGCACAGCCATCCTGAACTTCCTTCAGGATAGTTTTCCAAAGGTAGCGTTTAGAACAGGGATCCATTCCAGAGCTGGGCTCATCCTACAGGAAAAATGAAAATGACAATACAGCAGCATGGGAAAAACATACCACAGCTCCAGACCAACAGGAAGAATTTTTAAAACTCACAATAAAATCATATATTTTTCTCTAAAAAAGCTACATTTTAGGAGGTCACTTAACAGACACTCTCATCAGTTTTTTGCTTTAAGACATATAGTTTCATTTATACAATTATAGAAGGCAACTTTTATTAAATAAAATTTTATATATTATATGTTTATATATTATATAATAATTACTATATTTATAAACACATACACATTTTTAATTATACATATATACATATACTTTTTTTAATAGAAGAGACTTGCAGGTGGTTTTCTGCACTTTATGGGGGGGGCTGTTTCTCCCCTACGTGCACATCTGTCATGAGCACAAAAGAAGTGGACAAGTCCTGTAACTGCCAGCTGCCTGTACTGTCCATCCCATAGCCAGATGTAGAAAATATGTTTGGATTCAACATCCTCCAGCGGTTCCTTCCAGAGTCCCATGGAGAGGAACTCTCACCCATGGTGGAGAGAATCCACAGGATTAAAAACCAGTCAGTGTTGCCTAACGCAAACTGTCTGGCAAACCCATTTCCAACTCAGATTGCTTTCATGGAGAAAGAAGTGCAGCTACAAAAACTACATTTCCCTTCCTATCTAATCCTGCTGTCCTCACTAAATCAAATTAGGGATTCCAAAAGGTGGGCACTGTGAGAATGAAGAAGCACCTACTGTAGGAGAAGATCAGTTTCAAGAGCATCTAAGGAACCTGAAGGTGCACAAGTCCATGGGACCTGATGAGATGCATCCAAGGGTCCTGAGGGAACTGGCAGATGAAGAGGCTAAGCCATTGTCCATCATATTTGATAAATTGTGGCAGTCTGGTAAAGTTCCTGCTGACTGGAAAAGGGGAAACACAACCCCCAGTTTTAAAAAGAGAATAAAGACAGACCCAGGGAACTACAGGATGGTCAGTCTCACCTCTGTGCCTGGCAAGATCATGGAGCAGATTCTCCTGCAAACTGTGCTAGGGCATATGGGAAATAAGGAGGTGATTGGTGACAGCCAATATGGCTTCACTAAGGGCTAATTGTCCTTGATGAATTTGGTGGCCTATGACAAGGTTACATCATCAGTGGATAAGGGAAGAGCAACAGACGTCATCTACCTGGACTTGTGCAAAACATTTGACACTGTCTTGCACAGCATCCTTTTCTCTAAATTGGAGAGATGTGGATTTGATGGATGGATCACTCAGTAGATAAGGAATTGGCTGGATGGTCTCACTCAAAGAGTTGCAGTCAATGGCTTGATGTCCAAGTGGAGAGCAGTGACAAGTGACGTTCCTCAGGGGTCAATGTTGGGACCAGTGCTGTTTAACATCTTTGTTGGTGACATAGACAGTGGGATTGACTGCACCCTCAACAAATTTGCCAATGACACCAAGCTGTGTGGTGTGATCAATGCACTGGAGGGAAGGGATGGGCCATCCAGAGGGAGCTTGACAGACTTGAGAGCTGGGCTGTGCAAACCTCATGAAGTTCAACAAGGCCAAGTGCAAGGTCCTGTGCACGGGTCGAGCCAGTCCCAAGCACAAATACAGGCTGGGCAATGAGTGGATTGAAAACAGCCCTGCGGAGAAGGGCTTGGGAGCAGTAGCAGATGGAAAACTGAGTATGGGTCAAGAAAGTACGCTTGCAGCCCAGAAAATCAACTGTATCCTTGGCTACATCAATAGAAGTGTGATCAGCACATCAAGGGAGGAGATGTTCTCCCCTCTGCTCTTGTGACAACCCACCTGTAGTTCTCTGTCCAGCTCTGGGGCCCCAACATAAGAAGAACATGGACCTGCTCAAGAGGGTCCAGAGGAGGGCCACGAGGATGATCAAGAGGCTGAAGCACTTCCCTTGTGAGCAGGCTGAGAGAGTGGGAGCTGTTCAGCCTGGAGAAGAGAAGGCTCCAGGAAGAACTTATAGCAGCCTTCCAGTAAAGGGGGCCTACAGGAAAGATGAAGAGGGATAGCATGAATGGTAACAGTTTTAAATTGAAAGAGGGTAGACTCAGATTAGATAAGAGGAAGAAATTCTTTCCTGTGAGGGTGGTGAGACACTAGAACAAGTTTCCCAGAGAAGCTGTGGCTGCCTCCTCCCTGGCAGTGTTCAAGGCAAGGCTGGACAGGTCTTTGAGCAACCTGATCTAGTGGAAGGTGTCCCTGCCCATGGCAGGGGGGCTGGAACTAGATAAGGTCCCTTCCAACCCAAACCATTCTATGATTCCATGAAATTTTGTCCTCATTGACACTTGGAAACAGATGGAATGATATCTTATTGTCAAAAGCCAGTCTCTTTCAGTACAAAACTAGGGAGAAGGAAAATTCCAGTTGCTTTTTATACTGTCAAATTTCATAAGTTGTGTCATAACATGTTAGGGTGGCGTGGCCTTGGCCTATGTATTTGCAGCAAAGAATCCCAGCTAAAACCTAGAAGAAAGGTTCTCAAGAAACAAAGCAAACAAAACATCCAGCCTCATGCTGATTTTTGTGCTTAGGTCTCAATGGCAGAAGCAAAAAAGAATTCAGTTCAGACTCCTATTATCTGTGGATAGCTAACAAAAAACCCCAATAAAAAGCAATAAAAGTAAAGCAACCTACACTATTACTTAAATTAGTAGTTTTGATGCTGGATGTAATCTAGGAGAATATTCAGTGGTTTACCCTGGTGTCTTTGCTTTCAGACCAAAAAAAAAAAAAAAAACTTTTAAAATACTGCACAACTCCTTTAAAATCTGCTGGCTTTCTAAAGTCAGCCAAATGTTTTAAAGCATTTGACATGTTTAGATGTTTTTCTTTCCTCTTGTCATTACATATGCAATAGTCTGTGCCCTGCAGCAAGAAGTAGGTTAAAATGGATACTTGCAGTAGCATGCTGTCATAAAGACATTAAAAAACAGTTGGAGCATTTTCTAAGATCAGGAAAAAGCACTGATTTAAGATTATCTCCTCCTTTTACTAACTGAACCAGGGTCAGTTTAAGCATAAAATGTAAATAAAATAATTCTGCTCAGATGTGAGGCAATGATAGGAAGTTTAGAAGCAGTAAAATGTGTCTGCTCTTCTGAATCATGAACCCCAGGAGAACACCAGTTTTATCTGGGCCTGCTTAGCCTGTAGTGTATTACTGGGAACACTGGTTTTCCCCCCAACTCTGGGAAGCAAAGTCCCTCTCTCTGACAGTTTATTCCACTGTTGAACTGGTTTAGCTCTTCCCAGCCAAGGCTTGAGAAAGGGGTGTTCAATCTTCCCTAGTGAAACAATAGGCAATGATAAGAAAGAACAGTGGTGTCATAATGATGAAGTTCGCAAAGCTTTGTAATTTCCTGATCTTCAATACAAAAGGCAATGTTTAAACTGGAAAGGCCAGTTTCAGGCCTAAATAAGCAGTAGGATGGAAGACATCGAAAGAACATGTGGTAAGTATAATTCCAATTAACATCATTCAGTAGCATTAGTTGGATGGTGTGCTTTGTGAACCCAACAAAAATATAAGAACTAGCCAGATTAATGAAGCATGACATAGTAAGGAATATGAATATCCTGGAAAAGATGGGTCAAAATAGGCAAAATATTACATTTACTCACCAGTAAAAGTATCTGGGGTTTACCAACTAAAGCCACAGCAGTAGAGAGCTTCCTCTTTGTGCCAGCACTGTACGTTCTCACCAGTTTGTCAGCATGGGCATTGAGGTGTAACCGGTTAACAAGGTCCTCTGCAACCTGTGGTTTAGAAATTTGAAGGCCAGAAAAGATGAGACAAATAGTGTTTGTACTTAAACTGAAAGAACATTCTGTTCATACATATTAAGAAAATGTACATGTAATTTCCTTATTTACTCCCAATTGTTGCATATTATTACTTTTGAATCTTTGACACACACAAAAAATGCTCCAAGACCCCTTAGTTCTTCACAGAGGATAAGGATTTTCTTATATAGAAAATTTGGCTTTGTCATTGCTTGTAAAAGTCATTTGCATTCATCTTGTGTTGATGGGTTAATGATCTAAAGTGTTCCTCATTTCACCTGTTCTCTGGTATTTATTTGATCAAACATCTTAATGACTGAAAATTCAGGAGATAAAATTCTACATCAGCCACAAAAACATGGAAATGTCAGAAAAGCAAGTCACAGTCTGAAGATTTAGATTTTCTTAAAGAGAAAAGGTAACTTAGGGTTAAATTAATATACCTTTCTAATAACTGAGAGGGGTAAGTTGACCCTAGCTGGTTTGCTTGTAATTGCTTAAATAAGTATGTGTGATCTGAGTAATCTGGGCATGCACATGAGCACAGGTGGAGAATGTTCATGCTGTCCTCTATGGCCTTTCTTCTTTACCTGTCAGAGACAGTCCTAATGTACAAGGCTCCCTCAAATACTGGTGCTAGACAATTAATTGTAGCAAGAGCCTCGTTCCACCTATATCAACTATCACTGCTGGACCAACCAGGGACACCTCATGCAAAACCATGAAGGACACAGCAGTGACTTGTCTACTCACCACTGGCAGATGCACCCTGCAAAGCAGAGGTGTTTAGTGGCATGCTGCTGGGTGGTTGCATCATCGAAGGGTGATCAAATTAGTAATAGAGCCAGTATGTTTTCAACCTGGATGTACTACAGCTGGGTGATTCTTGTAAAACAATTAGTTGCATAGGGCTCTATTGCCTGAGATTAACTGCCAAAGCAACCCCAGCAGTATGGTGTATTCTATTTGCTCTGTCTTCAGCAAAAAACAAGAAGTACTGGAAGGATGAGTCTATCAGATGGACAGTCTCCAATTAATTCAGAAAATCCAATAGAAAAAATAAATATAAATAAACAATATTGTGAATTAATATTAACTATCCAATTCAAATAAACTGCCATAAGCATAATCATATCTTTTTATGAAACAGTTTTATGCAACCTCCTTTGGAAATGATCAAGATATTATAACCCTTATAGCAAGATTCTTCAGTACTACATATAAAAATAAGACACACCTCTGAGAGCAAGTTCTCTGTAAGCAGGAACAATGCTGCAGTGGTGAGGATCTGCAGTATTCTAGTGTGAATCCTGGCACTGGCATTAATAGTCACTTGTGTTCAATGTACTTTAATGTATAATCTGATAGCAATGCATGTTCTCAGGCTAAAGCTAGTTTTCATAAATATTGCTCTGCCCGCAATAAATGCAGAGAAATAAAAAAAAACAAACAAACAACCAAAAAAAAAACCAAAAAAAACCACCCAAACAACAATCAACCAACCAAAACGAATAAACCAACATTAATCAACAACCATTAAACCACCGAGGTAATTTTATACAGAAAAGTTCAAATCTGCTATTTGAGCGTTAGTTCAGAGTGTTTTCATTAGACACTACTGCTGTGTATCAGTAGCATTGCTGCAAATTCTGTGGATTTAGAAATGGTCAAGCATCTAAGGTATATTCTAAGACATAACAGCTAAGCTTTTTTGGTTTGGTGTTTTTTTGTTTTGGTTTGGTTTGGTTTTTTGGTTTTTTGTGTTTTTTTTCTTCTTTGAAACACAGGTCTCATTATACACCAAAACAGCCTATCAAGGTAACACCTGTAAAGCACATTGTAGACAGCTTATCCACTCTACTAAACTGACTCAATTTGACTACCATTGGGAATGCATGCATGTTAGTGACAATGGGATTATCCTCCTACAAATCCACCAATAATGTACAGAGAATTGCACAGAAAAGCTCATAAAAAATTGACTAGAAAGTGAAAAAATGTATGATCTCTTCTTTAAACCAAAATTAACATATATTGCAAACTGCAACAGGCTTCAAGAGTTGTTAAACAATAAGGAAAAGAGGACTACATATCACAGCTGAAATGTAGTAAAAACTTATCTTTTAGCTATGTCAAGAACCACTATTTCTAAGACTGCTTTGAAGTGTTACCAAAACTCTTAGCCCAAGTTAGCAAAATGCCATCCTTTGAAAGAGACAATGAACACTGCACAAGGAAGAATTTAGAAAGCCAAGGAATAGTGCCAGAAAGAAGAAAAAAACATTCAAGCAAGCCAAGTCTTCCTACAATCTGTAGCCCCCAAGGAGACTCAATGATGTATGAGGTGTGAACATAATGCTCTTTGCAGGGAGCAACATTAAAACGAATCAACTTTTCAAGATTTATGATTCTACATGTAGAATCCTCCCAACTATCTGGTATGTACTCAAGCATTCAGTGCACAGACACTCATGACTATGCCATCTCCTGTTTTGTACAAGGAGCGAAAGCCTGGCAAGTCCTCTGCTATGGGAATTTTGCAAGACAAAGTTTACTTAAGGTAGAAAGAGAGAGGTGGGTATCATTTCATAGTACCCACTTTGCTGCTGCTTTGAATGTGTAGAGTTTCTAGGATAAACTTTGCAGATCATTGCAATGCACACGACAATCTGGCTTGATATCCAGGTACACATATTTCAAGCAAAATGTATCAAATTATAGAACGTATTTGAAGCCAAATAACTTCAGCAACAGGCAGAAGGATTAGGCAGTTTTCTTACTCCTAATGATTTCCCAGCTGCACCTAAAAATCTGTTCCTGCTATCCTCCTCAACCCTTACATGTCAAAGAAGCACTGCAGAGCATGCTTCAGCAACTATAAGAATACAGAGCTCACTCTTCTTTCAAGAGATGACCCCAGATCTTTTCCTCTTTTTTTTTTTAATGTGTATGATAAGATTTCTGGTAATAAGAGTCTCAGCTTCATCAATATGACCTAAACAACAACAAAACAATCATTTGAAAGAAATTAGATATATTATGTATTCGGTATATTGTGGAAGAGCTTGCCCATCTCCATTGTAACTTCATTTATCTGTATAACCAATGGTATCCTGTGGTTTGTATCATAGTACACTAAGAAGTAAAAATGAAAATCCCCCTTAAACTACTTTAAATGAAATTCAGAATAGAATATGTGACAAATCTTCAAACAGATACACACAATTATGTAAGAGATTTACAATTCTAATGGTTTCCTTCCTTCAGTGAATGTGAGATATATACACAAGCACCTTATCTCCCTCCTTGTCATATTCATCATGATGTTCTATTTCTGGTTTCAATTACTTTCAGCAGAGAAGGGTGAGGAGATACATCAATTTATTTATCAAGTTGGTAACATTGAGGCCAAATTAAAAGACACAGAGTTATATGCAAATGTATACATTGTGAGTGCACTTGAAAACCATAAAGATATGTCACATCTAGTCATGGCTGTAATAATGTATTTAAACTCTTTCCTTGCCCCCTCTCCCCCCAAATCCAGATTATGACAGACTTTACATCTATCAGCTAACAATTTCCCTATTTTCCGATATACCTTAAAATTATTTACTTTTCCCTCATCAATTATAACATCTTCAGTAAACATTTTCTTTTTTCAAAATGAATAGTTTGCATAGCTTTGGAATAAGCATTGGAACGAGCCCTTCAATCTGTAAAATCTAAACCAAATCCCCCAATACTCTGCGCGCTTCCTAAAGATTATATTCATTCCAGAAGAGGCAGTAAGGTAACTTGAATCTTTGCACACTTATTAATATTTGTGGGAGTAAAGGTAGGCATGGTGTCCTCTATCCACCAGGGAACCAAGAGGAACATCCACCTCACTGAAAAGCAGGAAGTGATGCTAATTATGTAACTACTGATGCTAATGAATTTCCACTCTCTTTTGAAAATTACCATTAATATTCAAGTAAAAAATTAAGTAGTACTGAGAGAGTTTTCAGTTACTGTGTCTTCCAGAAAAACTTGGAGTCGGTGAAGACTCAATCTATTAGATTAGAAATGTGATAGCATGTCTAATCTGACTTGAAAGGCTGTATGCACCAGTGTATTAATTTTGCACCATTTCTGACAAAATAAATACAATGTATAACTTCCTGGTATTTTATTTTGAACAAACCCTCATAAAGCACACCTGAACTAAGATTGAAAATGTGTATCATACCTAGTACAAATGATAATAGGCATGGGTTGAATTCTAGAGTCACCTGAAAAATAATTATACACTTCCAAAACAGTTGTTCAAAGTGTCGGGCTCTGAGTAAGTGAACGCAGTGTAGGTTGAAGATCCTACATAACAGTCATTCATCAATTCCACATCAAACAGAATTCATTCTGCTTCAGAGTAAACCCAGGATTGTAAGATTTCTTACATTAGGGAATCGTATACTCATGCTCAAACTTCCAGGGGAAAATAGTTATTTATCTCAGAATCTTATAAAACTGTACACACTAATTCTCTTTAGGGTCCAAAAATAAGCAAGCATGCAAAGAATTAATGAATTAATAAACTCCTATTTTCAGCAGCTATAGAATATAACATGTAAGGAAGTCAGTGAGATTGCAGAGTCAGTGCAAAAAACCTTCCTGGAGAATTAACGTAAAGAGAAGTCATACTGACATTCAAAGAAGTCACCTCTAAAGGCCTGATGAAGCTTGCTTTGAGATTTGCAACACAAGCTTTAATGCAAATGAGAGATGTCATTTAATATTACTCTTTTATACTTTTTAACAAGCTGTATGATGTCTTTTGGAACAAATTGATACGTAATCTTGATTTATTAAAGAAATAAAAATAAGACTTAAAAATACTATGTTGTGAGTATCTTTCTAAACAGCCCAAAAGCTCTACTCTAATTTTTCCAGTTTTGCGGCAAAAAGAACCTTTCAGAGTAGAATTGGAAAGT